AGAGGAACAAACTCCTGGTTATACACCATGTACAGTACAGTACAAATATTATCCATTTTATTTGTGCAAAATACTGTAGATAGTTATATCTATATTTTAGTAGTGAAATTTTATTTTTTCTTTATATTTTCAATCAAACCTTATTGATACCATTTAATTTTCAATAAAAGAAAATAAATACTGAACACAGAGCAATAAACACTTGTGCATAGGGCAAGGAAGTACCATTGCATATAAACCCCAACAGAGGAATTTTGTAGAAAAGGTGGGAACAGCTGCCATAGACACGAGTACATTCTGATCACAGTTGACTTAACAATAATTGAAAAAAATTAGTAATTTGTTGAGTTTTTGTTGTAAATTCAAATAAACAACTCCACTAACCTAATACTTTAATTAAAACAGACAATATGCCAAATTATTGGGTTATAATAAGACTAAGTTAATAATTAGTAAATAATTATTAATTCAGCCTTATTATAACCCAATAATTCAGCAGATTGTATGGTTGTAACTTCAAATATGCTGAAGAATATAAAATGAATATATGTTATGAAGGAATGAGTAATAAACATTAATATTATGCTTGTATATGATATTTATATAACCAAAATAATAGTTTACCATAATTTACCTTTTATATTAATAATTATTATTTTAATATCTTTGTAATATTAGTAGAAGTTATTCATGAGAAATTTGACACTGTAGGAATGAAATATCTATCATGAAAGTAAGATTGTATTCATACTTCATCCTTATACATTTGTTTCTACCTTCCATGCCATTCTAAAACATATCAGAAATTTATACTGATTGATCAATTTTGATTTGTTGGTGCAAATACAAACAAAAAAGTCAAATCTGACAAACTGATCTGTTAGCCTTGCATAATAATGACTGAAAGCTCTTCTCATCACAATAACCACTGGTTGGCTGTCAAAATCAGATACTGCAGTTTTAATGTGAATCCAGCCTAAATGGATATTTTCCTTTTATTTTTATTAACATTTTATTAATCCTTCATTATTCCTATTAGGATAAGAGAAGTATACTAAACATCCCGAAGCCTGGCATATAGATACTCAACCAAATGATCACTTATTAATGATTAATTACTAAGGTAATTTGGTATTATTTAGATAATGTCTACCTCTAGTACCAAATTACTTAGTATTTAATCATTAATAATAGTGGATTTATAGCCAGATTGTTTAAGCAATCATTTGGTTGAGGATAAGCAGTCCTTACTCAAACTCTTATGGGAGAAAATTAGATAATCAAATTATTCTACATGGATAAGTTTATTAATAAAGCACAACTGGTATATCTAATTCTATAAATGTATATTTAATTTTTGTATTATTAATAGCTTACTGGTAACTCCCAATTGAGTAGTTATTTTTAAGCAGTACACAATGCTTTCTCTCCCAACTTTATTTGCAGATGAGAATATATGATAGTCATTTCCAAAACACAAAATTTTTGAATCTGCAAAAATTAAGGGAGAAAGTATTGGTGTATCAAAAATAATTACTCCCAATTATATGCATTTAAGCTCAAAACAATAGTTTATTACTATAATCATCTTCACTAAAGCTTGTACAGGTAACCCCCGTATAACAGTAGTTACGTTGCAAAAAATTGCCGTGTTATGTGAATCCGTGTTATACGAAACAAAGAACTAATACAAAAAGGAGGGCTAGGTTCCAAAAATTAAAAAACATGCTAGTATATTTTCATAATTAAGATAAATATCTTCATTAAAATTTTTTAAAGTGATTCATATTAATATAAATTAAACAATGTTTTCTTTGTCATCACTAAAAAACTATTACAGTGGTACCTCAGGATACGAATGCCCCAGCATACGAAATTTTCAGGATACAACATGAAATTTGAACATATTTTTGCTCCACGATACGAACAAAAATTCACCATATGACGTTACATTAGTTCGCAGTGCCATTTTTTTATTCACTTCTGTTCGTTGGTCTCAGTCCATGTGTTTGCTTCGTCGTGGAAGGATCTCACTTGATAAAGGAAATCTTGAGGTATTATCAGAAAATTATTGATTTTATTGAAAAGAAACACCGCGAAACGGTTCACAATGGCCGTATTGCTGCTCGGAGTAATGACATTTGCCTAAGTCATTTTAGAAACATTTTAAAATGTAGGCAAAGCCAAACCTCTTTGGATAGATATTTTACCAAGCGATCTCTATCCAGTGAAAGTGCTGATAGAAATGAAGGAAAGAAAGCAACAAGCAGTGGATAATAATTTAAAAAAAATAAATAAATAAAGCAACACTAATTTTTTAAAATCTTTTCTAAGTTATTTTTAAGTTATTGTTACATTAAGCTATGTAAGTTAAGTTTTAGTATCATTTCCCTTCTCCCTCTCTTCCGCCACCAATTTACACCTCCACCGTCCTCTATCTCAGCGGTCCCCAACCTTTTTATCGCCGCGGACCGGTCAACGTTTGATAACTTTACCGCGGCCCACTGAGGGGGGACGTTGATTGTTCATATTTTACATTGATTTAATTTAATAATTTTAATTTAACTGTATTTAAACGTGCCTTCAAAATAAAATACAATTACACCAAAAAATGAATATAATGTGATTTAACATTTTAACTCACTAGAAAGCTAAATCAATGAGAACCCTGAGCTTGTTTCTTTGCAACAAGACAGTTCCATCTGGGGGTAATAGAAGACAATGACAATCGAAGTGTGTTTCTTATGTTCAGTTTATTCTGCTGTTCCATCGTCTATTAAAAGTCGCACAAACCGGAGACAAATACACCATAGTAAATAAAATGGAAATAATTTAATGTTCTTTGGGCGGCCCGGTACCATTTGATCTACGGACCGGTACCGGTCCGCGGCCCGGGGGTTGGGGACCACTGCTCTATCTCAAAGGTAATGTGCAAATAAAACTACATTTTTTTAAATCAATTATTATTCTATTACGATTATTTATACATTTACAACTACAAAATGCATTTTTCAGTGTTTTCCTTACTATAGTTTTTTTTAAATGTATTACTTAGCTTTAATTTTAGTGTGTTTTTCATGTTGGAACGAATTATTTGGTTTTACATGTAATCGTATGGGGAAAAATGATTAACCTTACGACATTTTCATGATACGATCTCAGTGTCGGAATGGATTAATTTCGTATCCTGAGGTACCACTGTAATTAACCGAGAGCGTTTTCTTTTTGGATCCTTATCCTCTGAGCATTTTTCTGCATTATCTTCAGATCCCCTTATCCTCTGAGCATTTTTCTGCATTATCTTCAGATCCATGCTTTACCTTTTGCAAAATGTATATAATTTTAGATTGCTTGCTTCTAGTTAAAAGGTCTTTATAAATTTCCTTATATGGTGCTAAGCACTTATGAAGAATAAAGTGAGTATGGAATAAGGTGAAAACATTCGGCAACATCAGAAGCAGAAGTGTCGCGATCTGGCAACATTGAAACAAGTTTCGAGAAGGACCACATGTATCAACAGAAGGAGAGAAGAGAAAATTTACATACTTAAGTACTAATAGTTCACGAAAATTATTTTTTTCGTGAACTATTGTTACTTAAGTATGTAAAAATTTATTACATTTCCTCTTGTACGAGAATTTTACCCAATTCTTGGACCGTGTCAGAGCGAATCCGTGCTATAAAAGTGCCGTGTTATACAGGGGTTACCTGTAATATATATATATTTTGCAACAAATATATTCATTTAGATAAATTTTATTATGAAATTTAGTTTAACTTTATGCTTTAATGAATCTATAGAAATTTAATACACTTTGCTGTAAAAAATCTTTTATATGTGAAAAGTATATCCAATATATATATATATATATACACTTTAATACATAAATGTATTTTATTTCATTCCATTTTGTATCACACCGATGAAGATAAGGCATATTGTTTTGTACCATTGAGATAGGGAAGAAAACTTCGTAATGGAGCATTAAACTGAAAAATAATTATTATTATTATTGGCCGCATTCAGCAGACTCAACAGTTGTAACAGAGCAAATCGGTAACTGTTACGTAGCAACCTGGATCTGCCGAACGAGTGATATATGCGTTGGAACAAAAAGCCTCATTGGTCAGTTTCAGATAGCAATAGGTAGCGTAAATGAAAGATGCTACCAAATGTGACGTCAAAAGACCAAACACATTCTGAAAGAGCATTATCGTAGAGGGCGTTCAGCAGAAAAATATTCAACTGCATTGGAACTGTTGAGTCTGCTGAACGCAGCCATTGTACGAGCAGTAAAAAAATTGTAAAAATTAGATAATGGTGTACATTTTCTAGACAAAACAAACAAGGTTACCCTCAACTGAAAAAAAGTCTTATAATGTTATTACTGAATCATACATTTTTGTGAATTAAAACTAAAACATTAATATATCAAAAACAAACTTTGAATGTTAACACAAACAATTTTAAGTGTTTTCCCCTTTATTCCTGACTATTTTTATGATTTCACCAGTTAAAACTTATTAATTTCTTGCAATACAATATATACTTTTTTCAAATATATTTCCTTACATTATGAATTCATTTATATTGTTGCAACTGTTCTAATTTATACTCTGTATAAAAAAAAAGCTATCTTAAGTGAATAGTAAGTTCCATAGCTAACATGAATATATTTGATCAACAGCACTCCTGTGCTTTCTTAAGTATAACGTGAATTACTTTATATAGTTGCATTTTTTTCCTATTTTCTGATCGATAAATGAATATTTTAATAAAACTAATGGCATTTACAAATAATCAGTCTTTCTGAGTCTTATTTTGAATAAAAGACCGATTACAGAAGCTATTTTGTCTAACGTTCTCAAAAATTATAGTTCGTCATTGTTACATTCAATTTGCCTAGAATTTTCATAAGTAAAACTAAAGAGTTTTATGTTACGTAAAATGTACTGTCATTGTGATTTATATAGAGCATAATAACGTTAATATTTCTCACCTTTTCCTTTATTTTAAATGAAATTAAAATTTCTTTTATTTAACGACTTGCAACCAAAATGGATTTGAAAAAGTAAGTGCGCGTGCGCAAGCTGCCATGCTATTTGCCCGCCAAAATGACAAAACAATATTATTAAATTATAATACTTTACTGAAGCGCAATTTAAAACAAAAATATTTAAAGATTGTTTAAAATATAATAAATAAATAAATAATATATTATTAAATTATGTACGATCAATCGATTATTAAAAGCTTAATATTAATATATTTAGGTATTTTCGTAAAAGTTTATATTTATAAATTTATTTATCAAAATTTATGAATTAATGTATAAAAAATTTTCAATAATAATAATAAAATTAAAATATAATGTACAAAATTTTTGAGCTAATAAATAAATTTGCGCATGTGCCTTACTAACATTTCGTTATTATTAAAAATATTTTTTTAAAGAATATAATTAATTTTATTTGAAGAATCATATTTTTATTTGCATTATTAATAATAATACAATAAAATTTCTCAGGAAATCGAATGAAAGCTTAATTTTATTATTTTATCTTTGTTAGGAGTTCGAGGTTAAGTATTTTTCGACATTGTTCGTTGCTGGTCGTCGGCTTGACAAAGTGGTTCTGTAATTTTGTCTTTTCTCGTTGCAATTTTTGTAGAAAATGGGTGCTTCTGATGTAAGTGATATTTTCGTTAAATGTTTTTTTCTTTTTCGTAAAGTTAGATTATAGATACATTTAGTATTAAATATAAAAATATCGTAATTTTTTGTTTGGAGCGAATCTTTATTAAAGATGGCGGCTCTAAAAAGGCATAATTTCGTACATATACTGTAATACATAAACGTCTTAGGAAAGATTTTTATTTTAAATGACTTGTAGATGATGGTTATTTCTAGAGCAATAGAAAAACGTGATTTTAATTGGAAAATGAGTATATTTGAAATAAATTTTTATTGTTAAACTTACAGATCTTTGTTACGTCATTGCTGCTTTTGTGAAAAAAATTTTCCACTAATATTTTGAGTCGTATTCGAGAATTTTGATGATGGTATTATGATGATTTAATTTAAAATGTTACTGATATATTGATGATTTGAAAACATTAATGGCAGTCATGTGACTTAGTGAACTGGGAAAGTGCTTTGATAAATACAGTAGATTACGATCGGTAATACTTTATAAAATATACACCAACGATTTTCCTCTTAATTATATTTGCAATAGAGACATACATGCTAGGCATGTCCAAAACACATCTGTAGTGATATCGGACCTTCTCGTCCTCCCTCTCTGGGGGTTTTCGTCGGGGCAGATGCGATCTATCTATCAATGCAATCTATCCATCGACACCCGCTAACGAGGGGTCGTTAAGACCGGGGAAGAAAACGCGGGAAGAGGGGAATTTGAAAGAGAGGAATTCGGGACACGAGAGGGAGAGGGAGTGCGAAGTAGTGGTCCCTGAGAGCGAAATAAAGTTTTTTTGTGGACATATTGGACTGGTTAATTGGGGAGACGAACCGACAGGGAGGAATCCGCTGATCAAGAATGGGTTCCCTACATTGGCGCAGCCGACAGGATCGTGAAGTCAGATTGACAAGATTCGATTTGTGAACAGAGTGATTATGAGCCAGAATAAGAAGAGTGGATCGGAACCGAGCTGAGTGGGTAATTGGGCACGGCACTAAGGTTTGAGGAATATACAAGGTTTACACCAGAGAAGAGGTAGGAAAATTTTGTACTTGTTGGAAACGAAATTCACGGCAGGATGCTAAGCGTAAAGGGAGTTAAGAAGGAAGATCTACGGATCGTGGTGGAAGAGCTTTGTGGCACAATAGATGATAATCTGAGGGTATCGAAGTTAAGGGAACTTATTACGAAAAGTGACGATTTTGCTAGTGACCCAGATTTTGACTTCCACTGTTGCGGAAAGGAAACGGAAGGAGGAACAAGAGAGGCTAGAAAGGGAACGCCAGCACGAGTTAGAGCTGGCGCGGATTAACGCTACTATTCAAAGCAGGGCGAGTAACGGTAGTCCCAGCCTTATGGACAGCCATCCGGGTGATGGGCCCGCCGGGAGTATTGAGAAATTGATTACGAGCGTGAAAACGTTAACATTGCCGGTCCGAAAATTGGAACCTATTTTTCGTATCTATAGAGCGAGCGTTCCAATCGAAGAATGTGCCAGAAGAGATGAAAGCGGAGATACTGATCAATATTCTGGGAGAAAAGGCCGCAAACATTTTGATTTATGTAACCGGAGACGAGTTAAAGGATTACGCAAGCGTGAAAAAATTAGTGTTACGAGAATATGAACCGTCCACCCAATGCTGCCTGGAAAATTTTCGGAGTGCTAGGCGTAGGCCCAACGAGACTCACATGCAATTTATGTCGAGGATAGCGTCGTCTTGGGAATACTATTGCGAGTTGAGGAGAGTGCAGGACTTGGAAACTTTAAAACGATTAATCGTAGCGGACATATTAATTCAGACGTTGGATGCCGACACGGCAGCCCATATAAGCGTTTGTCAGGGCGAGGGGGTGGTTTAACCCTATCAACATGGCAAGAGAGTGCGACTTATATTTCGAAAGCAAGGGAAAATCTCTAACCGAGACTTACATCGAGTCGCAAGGGTCTTGGCGTCTTCCAGAGTGCCAGGGTTCTGGCCAGGAGTACGATCCCCCACCACTGAGGGATGAGGGACGGAAAGACACACTCAACTATCGTCAGGAAGTGAAACGAAGGGAGTGCTTCATCTGTGGATCAACGCAACATATTTCTAGATCTTGCCCGCAGAAGATAAGGGATACACCCATAAACGATAGTCGCACTCAACCCTCGACCGGTCCGAGACAGAACGATGTCGCGTTAATGGGGAGTGTGAGGTCAGAACACTTTGACGAAAAAACGAGCAGCCATTTGAAGTCAGGCCCTAGTATTCAATGTCTACAATACGTTACGGTCAACGTAGGTGGGCAAGATACCGAAGCTATCGTAGATTCAGGCACCAAAGTCCCAGTATTGCGCCCCGAAGATGTTACCAGCTCGAATGACGGGGACTGGGGAACAATAATTTTGAGCCCAGTGTTTGGGAAAGAGATTAAGGCACAAACAGTAAAGGTCCCTATGGCTATTAAAGATAATTGCAACCAAGCTTTATTATCCCCTGTAGAAGTCACGGTGGCACTGACCGAGAAATTGAAGGGCCCTCATCTCATGCCGCCTGGTATTCTCAAAGTGTTGGAAGGACAAGCTGGCGTGTTCAGACCTCCTCACCTTCGTAATCGTGGAAGTGGAACAGGTAGTCGTGAACCAACTGATTGGGACCGAAACCGGTACTCGGATACGAGTGATCGATATGTATGTCTTCACGATAAAGCATTGCTTGAGAGGACCGATAGTCATAATAGAAGCTATCCAAGCCGAAAAGGTTCTAGGGGTCGGACATACAGTGATCACGAAGATTCTGGAAATATAAACAATTGGGAAAGTAGTCATAAGCGAGGAGAAGCAGATTTCTCTAATTTTAGAAAAAGAAATCTAAAAGTTTGCCCTGGTAGCTACACATCATACATGACAGCCAGCGAACGTGATCATAACTGGCGAGGTCCCCATGCTCCAAACGATGCTCCAAGGAACCGCTGGCGCGACGGCATTCATGGAAGTAAAAGTGTCTGGAATCGGCGAAAGGGTAGTAGACGTTCCGGGTATGATGACAATCGGAACAGGCAAGATGAACAAAAGACTAATAATCGAAGTAAATATTTGGAGGGTCGAAGTAGGAGGTACGGCTCCAGCGGCCTCCGATCTCATGATTATCGTCCGTTCGGCCATGATCGAGGCAACACAGATCGCATCGCAGTGTCAAATAAATACTCATCTCCCACTGTCGGTTACGGAAGAAACAACTATGGTGTTCAATATAAAGGAGAACTATAAATATAATTTGTGTAAAAGGAAAATTGGGTATCGTCTGTATGAACTTTTTATATTGTATAAGTTTTATTGTAGCCTTTATTTTTTTGAAAATTATAGTTCAGACTCGTGTTCGGGTTAACACCCTAACACTTGTCTTGCGGCGGGGGTGTAGTGATATCGGACCTTCTCGTCTTCCTTCTCCGGGGGTTTTCGTCGGGGCAGATGTGATCTATCCATCGACACCCGCTAATGATGGGTCGTTAAGACCGGGGAAGAAAACGCGGAAAGAGAGGAATTCGGGACACGAGAGGGAGTGCGAAGTAGTGGTCCCTGAGAGCGAAATAGTTTTTTTGGTGGAAATATTGGACTGGTTAATTGGTGAGACGAACCGATGGGGAGGAATCCGCTGATCAAGAACGGGTTCCCTACAACATCGAATATATGATGGCAAACTAATTTAAAAAACGCTATAAACAAAAAATCGTAGGACTACTTACCGACTGTGCACCGCCATCGCTGAAGCTTGTTTTCGTCGTGGAACTGCACACTGCAGGGCGGACGCGCACACAGCGTGCCACGTGACCTGGCTTCGACGTCAGTCGCTCACGTGACTACAGTTCTGACTCGTTTCCGGACAACTTTTTCTTGTGGCAGAAGAATTCGTTCTGTTTGCACTATACCTCGCAGGCGTCACGTGATAGAGCAAAGACAATCTACGGTGTGCACATTAATAGCGGTCGCTCTGGGCTGCTGTTTGTAGACATTTGCGAACGACGGTGAAAAAAAAAAAAGACGCTCATAATATCGAGTATCGTGATGGCGGAATCTATAATTTTAAAATTGCGTTTTTAGAGAGAGAGTTTAAAAGATGGGTTCGAATAGCATTCAAAGTAGCTGCGAAAAAAACTCGAGACGACACTTATACATATTGACGTGCGTTTTCACAACTTGTAAATTTTCATTCATAAAACTACATAATGGACACAAAATCAGAACTATCTGAGTCATGGAGCACGCCATGCTGACTTCTACTGTAAACTACTACTGCAAACAGCACGCACTCCTGCCAGAATGTAGAAACGGTTCAGAACTCACCATTATTCCTAACACATGGTTACCTCTTGCAGCGACTCGCGTGGACAGCCCGCAGACCAGTTTGACAAACTTTGTTTAGTTACTCTTCCATAACACCATAACATTCTATAGCGAAATTCACCAGTTAAGATTTGACAACGACGATTTATTTTTCGAGATTAACTTGTTAAAAAGAGAACAGAATCAAATTATTTTAAAATTCAGATTAAATGTTTATAACTATAAATTTATTATTTAAATTTATAAACATATATGTTTTACATAGCCTAACTAATCCTTTTAATTTAAAAATGTAAAGTTATATAACAATAATTTATATGTAAGATGTGGGATCAATAGGCTACTACATAAAGACTTTTCTATTTGGAAATGTTTTACTTAAAAAAACAATAGATGCAACATTCGTCAGAGCAATGTTCTCACACCCAGTCCCCCCAATTCCAATACCACGCAGACCAATACTTTTGTGAATTAAAATAAAAGTAATGATAAGACGGATCATCTCCAGTCTACGGATCACAGTTTGAGTACGTCCAGTTAGACCGCGAGCGGCTTTGTTATAATTTCTTTTATGAATCTCACAAATTTTATTTCTTATCAGACTTTTCAATTAAACACGCAAATATCTGCAGCTTTTAACACCAAATGGTATACAAGAATGATTCCATATTGAAAGAAATTGGAAGTAACGTAGTCGACAGAAAACTGCCAACCAGGATGTATTTAAAGAACGAATAACATAACCTTTCTAGATATTTGGCTGGATTCTTAATGCCTAAATGTAACAAAAACATTTGCTTGATAAAAGTTTTGTGCTTGATATCTAAAAAGGTTTGGTTATTCATTTTTTAGTAACACAAGCTTAAAATAAATCTTTAAACTTGGAAATTTTTCCTATTGCTTCCAGTCGGATAAATGAAAGACTTCTGAATGCGTTAAGCGACAATCAATCCTAAAAACAGTAAAATCTTATAATTTGTGGTTGTAGCACCCTTAAATCTTTTCTAGAAAATTATTCTTTTAAAAGAGATTTTATAGGAAAGGAAGTGTATATTTTTAATATTACTGTTAACGTTTGAACGTTTAAGAAAGGAATACAAATACAGCATTTGCATATACAAGCACCATGATGCGAGTCCAAGACTATCCATTTCGAAAATGATGTATAAATGTAAGGGTGTATAAATGAAAAAAAAAATGACTACTTCCTGAATATCGTGTAATTCCTCTTCGACTGGTATAATAAGTCTAGTTTAGAATGCGGATAACAATATGCCGACAATAAAACTATTTAGTTACTAAACAATACACCTTTATATTTCATGTAAAAAAGATAAAAGTATTAGGAATAAAAAATCTAACCATGGACTAGCCCAATGAATATTGTAATTAATATCTTAGTTTGGTAAGATACAGCTTCACTCATGGAACAATGCATAATGAAATTTCATATCGGTGATCGAAAAAATTACAATTTTGGCTAGGAAAAAGTGGCAGGAGTAAAACTCACATTTTTATTTAAATATCGTAAATAATCAAAGTAATTAAAAACCATTTTAAACATGTATTAAGTGGCAGACAATACACGACTCGAACGTAAGAAGTTACACATTACTGTTTGTTATAATTGTGCCGTCAAACAAAGAAAGCCAAATCAACAAGATACCTTTCCTATTAGTTCAAAATTAAAATACGTATATGATACTTTTTATTTCAAAGGATGACAATGACGAAGAGAAATGACTCGTCAACATAAAATTATTTTTGAAAGAGCTTTAAATTTTTTAAAAACACGTTATTTTTTAAAGTTTAGGCTGGGGTATGGTGTGCGATCAGAAAATATGAAATTGGAAGGCACTAGCAATAAATTTGCATTTGAAGATAAAATCAGTGCGTTTATCGCTAAAATCGACCTATGGATCAGCAAAGTCAAAAGAGAATTTTTCTGCGTTTGATACATTGAACCCAATTATTGATTGACAGTGTGCTGAGATTAAAGGACAAATACAAAAGAACATTACATTCCATTTGCAAAGCTTGAAAAATTAATTCAATTGCTATTTTCCTGACTGCAAGGACAAAGGTATTCGGAAACTGATTTGCAATCCTTTCATAGTCAACATTTCTGAGGTGCCAGATGAAATACAAGAAGAGTTAATTGAAATGCAACATGATAGTAACTGCAAGGATACATTCGAGACAGGAATTAATCTTAAAGATTTTTGGAGCCAAAAAGCTATTGCTTTCCCTAAAGTTTGAGAAATTGCTTTACAGTACCTAACTTTATTTTCAACCACATATTTATGTGAGCAAGGATTCTCAATGCTTTTGATAATTTAAAAATAAACATCGAAATTGGTTGGATGCCAGTGCCGACATGCATTTGCTTTGAGTAGCACTGAACCAAGAATTCAGCAGTTGGTAAACAGTATGCAGCCACAAAAATCGCACTAAAATAATATAATTAATGTAACACTTTCGCAAATAATATAATACTCTTGGTTCTGAATAATTTTCTGTGTGTTTAATTTATAGAACTACCTTATAAGAACCTATATTACTGCCAAACAGCTCGTGGTCCGTGGCAAGACAAAAATTTTGATAAATGGTCCCTCATCACTAAAAGGTTAAGAACCACTAGTCTAATCACACGCTTCCTCCCTTGACCGTCCTCATCATGAACATTGTCACGTCCTTGTTTGAATTTCCTGCACCGTTCACGTTCACATCCATAGCTCATGAATTTCACCTCCATTCAGCTCTTCAGCCTGTAGAAATTGAATTACTGCTTGTACTTTACGCTTGGCGTGAAACTAGATTGGCAGTGCCATGTTTGTGTTTACTGTGCAGTAGAAAATGTCTAAAATAGCTTGGTGCAATGATAAGTGGTGAGGGAATATACTACTCACTAGGAGTGCACCCTGTCCATGTCTCACATGCTTCTTAAATTTTTTCGTGTGTTAGTGGAAGTTGAAAAAAATAACCCTCATATGAGCACCAAGTTTTGGCTCCATGGAGGACTTATCACATACTATTGACATTGTTGGAGTAATCACAGAAATAGGTAGAGACAGGTAGTTTTACTTTCCCAGCTGTTATGTATACACAACAAGGGAAAGTAATGGAATCATGTCAAATTTGACCCTCTGAGTTTTTTGCAAATCTCACATTTTGAGACTCCCTGAATCCAAAAAAGTAGGACAAAGAAATTCCATGGATGTGTGAGTTTGTGTATATCTTGCTTAATATCTCAGGACAGGTTGAAGATAAAGGAATGAAATTTGGCAAGATAGCTTGTATGTAAGGGGCATTAATACTGTTAAATTTTGGTTGTGAAAGGTCAAGGGAATGGAGAGATGGGGTGGTCGTATGATATATCTCACAAGTGGTCAGACTTAATGATCTTACTTGTTAGCATTTATAGTGTTTTATAAAATTCATTGCTACCCTCAAAATTAAGTCTTTTGCTATTTTATAATAATTAAAAAAATAAAGTTTTTATTACAATCTTGTAACAGATGATGCCACATACAACTGTAGTTATTTATTTTTCTTAATAATACATGTAGGAATAATGATTGAAATAGAAAACTAGAAATAACAATAATCTTCCAGAGTTCAGCTAAATCTTCCAATCATCTCAAAACCATCTTATCGATAGAATGATGATGATCTATGATCGTAATGCCTTTCGTCCTTTTTCGCACCTCTTAACTGTCATCTCGTTCTGTTCTCATGCCGTTCCAACTCTCGTTTTTTTTACTTCTTGTCCAAATCCCACATAAAAATATTTTTAAAATAAAATTTTGTAAAAGGTGGGAAAGTTGTGCAACTCTTTGCTAGTTTTTTAAATGGTTTGATGTTTTCTGTTATATTTCATGATCATTTGATCTAAAGTTTGTATCTTGAGGATTGTCTTTAAAAATGACCAAAAATATTAGTTGTTAAAGTTTTTTACTGCTATAAAAAGGTTGTGTGAAGGGTTAAGAGATTTAACATGTTGCTTTAGTCAATTTTTGTATTAAATGATTTATATTATATAAATCTTACTAATTAAATTTGTAGTTCTATGTAATTGTAATATCTTAGAAATTTGCAAACATACCTAAATATATTGTGGTGTTTTAATGAAATTGTATCTTTAGCTAGTACAGTGGTACCTCAGGATACGAAATTAATCCGTTCCGAAACTGAGATCGTATCATGAAAATGTCGTAAGGTGGATCATCTTTTCCCATACGATTACATGTAATACCAAATAATTTGTTTCAACGCGAAAAACATACTCAAATTAAAGCCAAGTAATACATTAAAAAAAATAACTGTAGTAAGAAAAACAAATGAAAAATGCGAACTAATGTAACGTCGTATGGTGAGTTTTTGTTCGTATCGTGGAGCAAAAATATGTTCGAATTTCATGTCGTATCCTGAAAATTTCGTATGCTGGGGCAATCGTAACCTGAGGTACCACTGTATAGAGAATGTAATCACTAACATATGTAATTATACAATAACATATCATTTTGTGTATGGTTGACAATTGTCCTAAGATTTATTTATATGCATGTTCCTCTATACAAAATAAAAATTGTATTTTGGACTTTTTTTCTGTTTCAATGCATGTGTTTCTAGTGTAAGGCAATATTAACTTTACTAACTAATTTTTCTATCTTTTAGAATTATTAGTAATCTCTAAGTGTACAATATATTTCCTATTATAAAATCATGCTTTTTATTTTCAGAATGAACAAGAGCCTGAGCAATTTCGTAAATTGTTCATTGGTGGGCTTGATTATAAAACAACGGAAGATTCTCTGAAAGGTCATTTTGAACAATGGGGTGAAATTGTTGATTGTGTCGTGATGAGAGATCCTAATACCAAAAAATCTAGAGGTTTTGGATTTATAACTTATAAACAAGCATATATGGTTGATGATGCACAAGCAGCTAGACCCCATAAAGTTGACGGAAGAGAAGTGGAGCCAAAACGTGCTGTTCCAAGAGAGGTTTGTGCTGTTATTAAGATAAAACAAATATATTTTTTATATTGAGTTTTGTAGGGAATTTTATTCGTTCTGAAAATTTGCTTTGGATGTTTTCAGGATTTAAACTGTCGCTAGTATTTTTACTAAAATGTTACAAGAATTTAGATTTAGCAACAACTTTCTTGGCACATTTCACTAAAAAACTAACATTTTTCAAGTGGTTAAAACATCTTAGTTTTTAAGATGTTTTAACTAGTGAGGGGACAATACCAAAATTCCTCTCAGTTCTGATTCTGCCAAAAACTCTTGATTCCAATTCTTTTGAACGTTTATTTTAGTTTTGAAAAATTAACCAGTCGGTTGCGCGGTACTCCAATTGGAGTAACCGGTTTTAGTTACATTGTTGCGCAGTACTCCAATTGGAGTAAGTGTCAATTTTTTTTCGTAATTATAATTCATGTCGCATATCCTTCTTGCGAGTTCAGTGCTGCACCTTTCTTTTGCTATATCATCCTGGTGTTCGGTCAGGCGGGCAGCCAACATTCTTGCCATGGCCCCAATATATCTCGTGCTGTTCCCCGTTACAGGATTTTCTAATGGAATTGCACAAATTCCTGACTTCTCGAGAGTGGAAAACTTGTCTCGGTCATTGCAGAGCAGTCTGCGCAAGTTAGGTAACGGAGATAGGGGCAGGAGTAGACCATGTTGTTTAAATATGCGGCAAATGCATAGAGAAAGCGGACCGAGGTATGGTAAGGCCAGTTGTACAAACATAACTTCTTTCCTATACTTAACATAACTTGTATATACTTATTCAAGGTAAAGAAGAATCAAATGAATGCCTAGACTGATTCATCTTGAAAAACTAATTTTTTAAACTTAAACGATTAATAACGATGAACACAATGAGTTTTAAACTATTAATTAATATTACTTGGCGTGAATATCATATTAACCTATATTAAAAATTTCTTTTTTTAATTTTTTGAATTCTCGAATTTTATAAATTTTTTTAAATGTACATAATATTTTGAAGTTAACAGTCATAAAGTGTAATATGTGAATGATAAAAGGCAAAAAACAGATCAGATCTACAACAATTTTTAAGTGAAATATTGCAAATTTAAAAATTACTATAAAAACCAGAAAATGTCATGCAACAATGGTGTTGTTTCAGATTATCGCGATGCACAGCTGACTGGTTAACAATTTACAATATGAGCACAGTGCATTCATTAATTAATAAACCATCAATCTTAAGAATGGAAAGTGATCGGAAAATCCAGAATAAATGATTTGAACGTAATCCAAAAATTCTCCATTTATATGTAGATGTGCATTTTATTGTGTAGTAGAAAATAAACTTGTAATCTTATTGCAGATAAAGTTAACCCAAAGAATGGGGGGTACATATAGATCATTACCTTTGTTAATTAAAGGTTAATATGCCAACACTACTCCCAAACAAATTACAGCTAATACCCTTTTACTAAAAAAAAATGCCATCGTGTCATCTAAGGTTGCCATCTTTGAAAACTGCTTCAATGACATGACAATTTGGGAAAGGTAATGAGAAGATGCACTTCTTTTTTAGTGCTTCTCGCGATTGGCATGCCATAAAATTCTGTGGTAATGTGCAAAGCATCCGCTATGATTCGGCACTGCTTGACCAAAGGTTCAATATCATATAGGTGATGACTACAATGACAAATTCGTCAGGACTGACACCACTGTGTCTTTCAGACAGACACAGAAACCGTTATTTTCATTTTTCTTGAGTGGTCTCGTGTGTAGGTGCTTGGGCCCGGGATGGAGATGATATGAGACAACTGGAAGATGTGCATGCTGCTACGAATTTAACAATTAACAATACCTATTTATTTACATAACAATAATATACAATTGTTATACATAATTAGATGGTGCTAATTATGTATAACAATTGTAGAAAAAACTAATCCTTATCATTAATTTCATGGGTCCCTGATCATGAGGGAGAGAGTTTACAATTATTTGCACATAAGTAAATACCTTAGTAGAAGTTGCTGATCCTTTTCAGAATTGGTGGATTGATGTACTCCTGGTCTGCAACTTGGTTTGAAAGAAGCTTTGATGAATCAAAAAGGATGGATGTCTTGAGAAGGGCAGAGGATGGGCAATGGCTACTTAAGTGGTATCCAAAAGGGATCGAGCACGAACACTAGTCCAAAGGTGGCAAACTAACGATGACAACAAACTCCCTGTCATGTCATTGGACCCGTTCTTTTATTCTGGGGGTCCTCCCCTCGCTGCTCTTACCTTTTTTTGGTTGTTACACATTCGATATGTCACCTTAAACAAGGAAGCAAGTCTGTGGGAAAAATGGTGCAGCTTGGCCTATGTGGCCTTTGCACCATAAAACACCAGTTAACTGTGGGAAAAATTTTAATCATATCCTTTGACTTTTTTTCTTTTAGGTCAAGTCTGGGTTCACAATTCCATCATATCTAACACTAAATGAGGTTCGGCAAATGATGCAATGAGCCGAACGAATATCATCATTTCAAGTTAACCATCATCATTATTTCAACTTTTGAATTAATTCACTTGCCAGGCTTTTCTAAATGTACAATTGTATATACTTATTCAAGGTAAAGAAGAATCAAATGAATGCCTAGACTGATTCATCTTGAAAAACCAATTTTTTAAACTCAAAAAAGTGATAAATTTAGTGCAAACAATTATTTTTACTTAAAATTGTTTGAAATGCATTTGGAAATTTAATGTGTTACAGCTCCATTTGTGAATCATAACAAAAACTTTAATAGTTAGTTACAATGAGAAAGTCATTTTATCATTAAAAAACACTTCTATATACATTAGTCTAAACCAGTGGTTCCCAATTAGTTTTTCCTGTGTACCACTTCAAGAAAGAGCTCAAAATAGCATACCCCTTATAGCAGCAATTCATATTAATCTATACGAATATTATAAATTTGAAGGTAATTCTGTCTGTCTGTTACCTTTTCATGTCTAAACCGCTGAACAGGTTTTAATAAAATTTGGCACAGAGATAGCTTACATGTTGGAGATGGACATAGGCTACATTTTACTGTGAGAAAATTCGATATAATGCAGGCGAAGCTGTGGGTAGTGATAGACAGCTAGTGATAAATAAAATAAGTTTTTTACATTTATTACCTTTAAAATNCTACAACAATTTTTAAGTGAAATATTGCAAATTTAAAAATTACTATAAAAACCAGAAAATGTCATGCAACAATGGTGTTGTTTCAGATTATCGCGATGCACAGCTGACTGGTTAACAATTTACAATATGAGCACAGTGCATTCATTAATTAATAAACCATCAATCTTAAGAATGGAAAGTGATCGGAAAATCCAGAATAAATGATTTGAACGTAATCCAAAAATTCTCCATTTATATGTAGATGTGCATTTTATTGTGTAGTAGAAAATAAACTTGTAATCTTATTGCAGATAAAGTTAACCCAAAGAATGGGGGGTACATATAGATCATTACCTTTGTTAATTAAAGGTTAATATGCCAACACTACTCCCAAACAAATTACAGCTAATACCCTTTTACTAAAAAAAAATGCCATCGTGTCATCTAAGGTTGCCATCTTTGAAAACTGCTTCAATGACATGACAATTTGGGAAAGGTAATGAGAAGATGCACTTCTTTTTTAGTGCTTCTCGCGATTGGCATGCCATAAAATTCTGTGGTAATGTGCAAAGCATCCGCTATGATTCGGCACTGCTTGACCAAAGGTTCAATATCATATAGGTGATGACTACAATGACAAATTCGTCAGGACTGACACCACTGTGTCTTTCAGACAGACACAGAAACCGTTATTTTCATTTTTCTTGAGTGGTCTCGTGTGTAGGTGCTTGGGCCCGGGATGGAGATGATATGAGACAACTGGAAGATGTGCATGCTGCTACGAATTTAACAATTAACAATACCTATTTATTTACATAACAATAATATACAATTGTTATACATAATTAGATGGTGCTAATTATGTATAACAATTGTAGAAAAAACTAATCCTTATCATTAATTTCATGGGTCCCTGATCATGAGGGAGAGAGTTTACAATTATTTGCACATAAGTAAATACCTTAGTAGAAGTTGCTGATCCTTTTCAGAATTGGTGGATTGATGTACTCCTGGTCTGCAACTTGGTTTGAAAGAAGCTTTGATGAATCAAAAAGGATGGATGTCTTGAGAAGGGCAGAGGATGGGCAATGGCTACTTAAGTGGTATCCAAAAGGGATCGAGCACGAACACTAGTCCAAAGGTGGCAAACTAACGATGACAACAAACTCCCTGTCATGTCATTGGACCCGTTCTTTTATTCTGGGGGTCCTCCCCTCGCTGCTCTTACCTTTTTTTGGTTGTTACACATTCGATATGTCACCTTAAACAAGGAAGCAAGTCTGTGGGAAAAATGGTGCAGCTTGGCCTATGTGGCCTTTGCACCATAAAACACCAGTTAACTGTGGGAAAAATTTTAATCATATCCTTTGACTTTTTTTCTTTTAGGTCAAGTCTGGGTTCACAATTCCATCATATCTAACACTAAATGAGGTTCGGCAAATGATGCAATGAGCCGAACGAATATCATCATTTCAAGTTAACCATCATCATTATTTCAACTTTTGAATTAATTCACTTGCCAGGCTTTTCTAAATGTACAATTGTATATACTTATTCAAGGTAAAGAAGAATCAAATGAATGCCTAGACTGATTCATCTTGAAAAACCAATTTTTTAAACTCAAAAAAGTGATAAATTTAGTGCAAACAATTATTTTTACTTAAAATTGTTTGAAATGCATTTGGAAATTTAATGTGTTACAGCTCCATTTGTGAATCATAACAAAAACTTTAATAGTTAGTTACAATGAGAAAGTCATTTTATCATTAAAAAACACTTCTATATACATTAGTCTAAACCAGTGGTTCCCAATTAGTTTTTCCTGTGTACCACTTCAAGAAAGAGCTCAAAA